TATGAAAGTGTTTTTGGGGTCGCTGATTACAAATCTGAACTAAAAATTTAGAGATTCAACATGGCGAATCCTATGTGGCGAGATAAAACATGAAAAGTGACTCTTTCAACTAAGCTACATGAAGCTAAAAATGTTCGAAAAGAATTAATTATCAATAGAATGCGAATGGTTCGAAAAATTCATATTTTTACATATACAGATGAAGAATAGACACATAAATTAAAGTATGATACTTTCCTAAATGTCGTAACATGTATTTTTCTTTAATTTTTTATATATTAATAGTTATATACATATCCTTGTATATTTTTGTACATTTACACCTATCATATCTGTATAAATATCCACTGTCTAAGTATCAATTATTTAAATACAATTTTTCCTCTTTCTTCTTATTTGTATTCGTCTTTTTCACGTCTTTAAAATCAGTTTCAGTAACAAAGGAACCCTATCAACTCGAATACCTGAAAACGTTGCATTTTTCAATCTCCTGGCTGGGTTTCGTCGTCAATGGACATTTTCTTCGTGAAACTATTCTTCCAGTTTCCTCGTCTTTGCAGACTATCATCTTCTGACGCGTTCCGCCACCGCAACTTGCCGAACAAAAGCTCCAACCTCCGAATAACCAAACGTATCTGTCTTTTGCATTCCTTTCGTCGCGATTTAAGAAATATTGCAGGGAGACTGCAACTGACATTCCTTGCTCTGCAATATTTCTTGGTACCAACAGCTACAAAGAGAATAAAATTTACGACATTGTTAAGTAACTCCATGTCTTGCTATGCAAGGTTGCAAAATGTTCAATATCGGCTTGACGCGTAAATTGATAATTTCATGCAGAAAATATGCACTTATGCAAAATAAAAAATTGTAATTATCGTATGCATTTGTAAAATGTATTTTGTAATTACTATATTTATTTGTAAAATATATTTTGTGTATATTTTGCATGTTTTTTTTTATTAACGTAGTCTATGATTGCATACAATTTCCAGTTAATTAATACACATCTTTTTTACACGTACTAAAATATTGTTTGCTATATATGATTTATTATATTCAATTATGGAATCGTAAAATGGAGTGTGCGTAATATCTTCAGGAATGAAGTCTATTTTGTTAAATATACTTTGAAAATTAATTTTACATTTCACTTTTTTTTTATAAAACTTTAGAGTTAGATATAAAATATCTTATTGTCTCATTTATGATGAAAGATGCGCAATATTGTTTCAGGCAAAGGCTGTGTGGTTTCGTGAGACAAATAATTCTTAATATGAAATTATGGATCTAGAATTAAAAATTGAAACTAATAATATGAATTATTATAAATTCTACACATCTAAATATAAAATTATGTGGATATTACTTAGTTCAACTACAATAAGTCGGATCAGCAATGTTCGGTATTCTCATGAAGTTATTAAGTTGTTATTGCAAAATATGATTTTAAATCTGCATTAAAAGTATTTTTAATTCTACGTAAGCTTTTGAAAAACCGAATGACCAAAATCTAAAAAAAAGAATTACATCCAAATTTTATTCACCTTGTGGTACCACTTGGTCTTTTTTTCTTTATTTCTTCGGTTTTAACAAAATAGAAACAAATGCAGTAGCTAATGAAGTAGTATTCTACTTGCTAACTGAACTTTGAATGATATTGATATCTTTTAATTTAAATATAGAATTGTTAATTTTTGTCAGGAAACTAATCTTGAGAATTGATAAATCAATTTATCAATATAATTAATCTTGATAACTAACCTAGATAATTTTAATAGATTAGTTCTAGTATTTCATTTTCAAATTGTAACGATTAATATAAAAACCTAATAACAAGAAATACAGGGTGTCCCAAAAATGTTGTAACACCTTGAAGGGGGTGGTTCGGGAGGTGATTTGAAACAACTTTTTCCTTAGCGAAATTGTTGTTCGAGGCTTCGTTAAGGAGATATTAAAGGTAAACGCCGGACCAATCAGAGAGCGAGTAGGCCGCGGTAGGCGTAGGAGACACGCTAGACGACTGCCCACCGCCGGCATCCTCGCGCTCTGATTGGTCGAGGGTTTGCCTTTAATAACTCTTCAACGAAGCCTCGGACAACATTTTCGCTAAGGAAAAAGTTGTTTCAAATCACCTACACTCTGTATATACAGGGTGTCCCAAAAATGTTGTAACACCTTGAAAGAGGTGGTTCAGGAGGTGATTTGAAACAACTTTTTCCTTAGCGAAATTGTTGTTCGAGGCTTCGTTAAGGAGATATTAACAGAAAACCCCGAACCAATCGGAGCGCAAGTATGCCGGCGGAACGCCCGCGGTAGGCGTGACTACGCGCTAGGCGACCGCCCTCTTTTTTGTAATTAGGGGGTGAAACCACCACTGACACTATATTAGAAGAGGATACGAACGATGTTCATAAAACTTCGGTTTTTGGGGACAATGGTTACAAATCTGAATTCAAAATTTAGAGATTCAACATGGCGGATCCAATATGGCGAAACAAAAGTGACGCGATTTGGATCAAACTTGGTATACAAGGGTTTTCGGGGACGCTGATTAGAAATTTGAATTAAAAATTTGGAGATTTAATATGGCGGATCCAATATGGCGAGACAAAATGTGACAAGTGACTCGATTTGGATTGAACTTGGTATACAAGGGTTTTCGGGGACGCTGATTAGAAATTAGACTTAAAAATTTAGAGATTCAACATGGCGGATCCAATATGGCGGATCCAATATGGCGAAACAAAATGTGAAAAGTGACGCGATTTGGATCAAACTTGGTATACAGGGGTTTTCGGGGACGCTGATTAGAAATTTGGATTAAAAATTTAGAGATTCAACATGGCGGATCCAATATGGCGAAACAAATGTGAAAAGTGAGTCGATGTGGATCAAACTTGGTGTAAAAGTGTTTTTGAGGTCAGTGATTAGAAATTCAATTCAAAATTTAGAAATTCAACAATGCGGATCCAATATTGCGGAACAAAATGTAAAAAGTGACTCTTTCAACTATTAAGCTATATTAAACCAAGAATGTTCTAAAAGAATTAATTATCAATAGAATACGAAAGGTTCGAAAAATTCATATTTTTACATATGCAGATGAAGAGTAGACACATAAATTAAAGTATGATACTTTCCTAAATGTCGTAACATGTATTTTATGTTTTATTTTGTATATATTAATGGTTGTATACACATCCTTGTATATTTTTGTACATTTACACCAATCATAACTGTATAAATTTCCACAGTCTAAGTATCAATTATTTAAATATGTTGTGACATATTGAAAAGGATGGTTCGTGAGGTGATTTGAAACAATTTTTTCCGTAGCGAAAATGTTGTCCGAGGCTTCGTTGAAGAGATATTAACAAAAAATACTGACCAATCAGAGCGCGAGTATGCCAATGGAGCGCGCTCTGATTGGTCAATGTTTTTCGTTAATACTTCCTTAACAAAGCCTCGGACAACATTTTCGCTAAGGAAAAAGTTGTT